TTTGGACAGTGAAACTTAATATTATGTGGTCTCAAAAAAAAAAAAAAAGAAAAAGAAAAAGAAAAAAAATCGGTTTTGCCAAACCTGAAATAACATTTTCCTTTGTCATAATTTAATAACATCTTTACAATAAAGTACTTTATGTAAAGTAAATAAAGACAATAAATTTGACTTTATATTTTCGTAATCTGTTAGCTTACTTTCCTGCTCCTTTTCATAGCAGTGGTAAATATTTCTTGAATTGGGGACACAAAGCTGTGTGCTTTAGGAGTTGGGCCCTGGCCAGTTTTCTGCCAGGAAACTGTATCCCCTTTTCTTTTTGTTGAAAAAATATGTACAAAAGTCAGGCAAATGTCTAAGACCCTCGTTTTAGCAGTTTATGCCCCAGCCAGTTTTTAGGTGTCTCATTTATTGCCAGCAGGCGCCCTGTTTGGTAAGGAAGTTACATTTTTAGTCATCTGCAACTTTTTTAATAACCAGCATCAAGTTGGACTTGCACATATGGGCACTCGTGGGTGGTCTTGTATGCAGATGCGCTGTCGCTCTCATTCTCCTAAATGCGCCTATTCAGTACAATGACAAATGCAGTGTATTGGCTAGCAGTGGGGAGTTTGATCTAAACTTTTTCACTACAGAAAAAACAATCTGAAAATACATCATGACTAAAGACAGTCTAAAACCATGCCACACATACAAATGTACCTATATGTCATGTGTGTGAAAACGGACGGGACTGGAATGTGCCGATGTATTTAGTGATGGGTTGGAAATTCTACCCTGGTCGCTCAAGAGTGGAGTCAGTAAGAACTCAATTTAGATTCTATTAATTTGGGATTTGAGCTAATAGAATTCAGGTTAGGTTAGAATTTCTGAAAAGCATTATGAAAAAAGTTAATAGCCTTGGACTGGGCTTGGGTAAATTCCCTACAACAAATTGCTTTCTGGGGCTGGTCACTGTTTGCCACCGGATACACTCTGCTGGTGGTGTCTCTGCCCCTGGGGTCCTCTGTGATTTAATAGTGTCCCGGTGCTTGTGAGAGTGTGATACAGAGAGTGGGTTCCAAGTTACAGCTCCAAAGCCCAATGAGGGGTGTATTGTGACTTCGTTTTAAAACTCTCTAGTCTCCATCTTCTGAAAAAGATGGGGTTTTTGAGGATATCTCGCTTGATAAGCATTAGGTAGGATGTAAGTATCATAGTAAATGTTTTTCAGTAGTAAAATGTGCCTTGGCTTTGGGTTCAAGCCAGCCTGACCAAGCTTTGAACTTGCATAGCGGAGGCAAGTTACTTTATATGAGTTTCCTCATCTGTAAAGCAGGGGTAGAATCCAAAGAACAGTAAGGAATGAGGCAGTGCTTCTCGCCTGCTGTGACGTGCACACAGCCACTCAGTGGAGCTTCATAATTGCTTTTTAAATGTTACTGTCATTTGTACAAGTTATCAAAACATTTCCCTTAATTAAAATATCATAGGTAAGTGGAATCTTTGAACATTCTGCTCAAGAGTTTATTATGGCTGTTCTCAAACATTTTGGTCTCAGAACCTCCTTTTTTTAAATTTTCTTTGAGGAGGAGTCTTGCTCTGTCACCCAGGCTGGAGTGTAGTGGCACGATCTGGAGTGCAGTGGCACGATCTTGGCTCACTGCAATCTCCACCTTCTGGGTTCAAGTGATTCTCCTGCCTCAGCCTCCTGAGTAGCTGGGATTATAGGTGCCCGCCACCATGCCTGGCTAATTTTTGTATTTTTAGTAGAGATGGGGTTTCACCAGCTTGGCCAGGCTGGTCTCCAAGTCCTGACCTCGTGATCCACCCACCTCAGCCTCCCAAAGTGTTGGGATTACAGGCGTGAGCCACTGCATCTGGCCAGGACCTCCTTTCAGTTTTAAAATACTGAGGATCCCAAAGAGCTTTTGTTTATTGTGATTTTTTTAAAAGTTATTTTTCCTTCTTGTTTTGTTTTTCTTTTTTCCCTATATAGTGACCTATCAGTGTTTATGTGGATTTTTATCTGTCAGTATTTACTGATTTAGAAGTTAGCCCTGGAGAATTTTTTAAATATTTATTTATTAAATATAACAATAGGCCAGACACAGTGGCTCATTCCTGTAATCCCAGCACTTTGGGAGGCTGAGGCAGGAGGATTGCTTTAGTTCAGGGAGTTCAAGACAAGTCTAGGCAATGTGGCAAAACCTCCTCTTTACAAAAAATATGAAGTTTAGGTGGGTGTGGCAGCACATGCCTGTGGTCCTAGGTACTCGGGAGCCTGAGGTGGGAGGGTGGATTGAGCCTGGGAGGTGGAGGTTACAGTGAGCTGTGATCATACCACTGCACTGCAGCCTGCACAACAGAGCAAGACCCCATCTCAAAAAATAAAAAAGATAATAAAACCCTATTATGTGTTAATATTAGTAACATTTTTATGACTGATAACTTTATTAAAACAAAAAGCCATAGTGAGAAGAGTGGCATGATTTGCCATTGTTCTGTAGCTCTTTAATGTCTGGCTTGCTGGAGGGTAGCTGCTTTGACATTTGACACATTTGGCTTTTTTTTTTTTTTTTTTTTTTTTTTTTTTTTTTTTTTTTTCTTTTTTAAAGCCAGTTGTGATAGGGTCATTTTGAGTGAATATGTGAAGACCATCTGACTTCCTATGGATATGCCATTGGGAAGGAGGGGACCTCATAGGACCCCTGAAAGAGTTTCAGGGATCACAGGGGTCTTTGGATCATGCTTTGAAAACCATTGGTTTTAATATATGGTAATGAACTTGAAAGTGGGTTGTGTCGTGGCTCCGTTTAGGACAGTGCTTGTACTATGCTGCCAGCTGAACTACACACAGCACCATTTGGAATTTTGTTTGCATCAAGAGAAACAAACGCTCATTAGAATTTATTGGTTGAAACTTGTAAACAAACTCAGTCTGGTTTGTCTTCCTTATTGTAAGTTGGTGGCACATCTGTTTCCTTGATCGATGATAGCTGCTCTTTGTTGATCAACCTTTATTTGCCATACATTATTTTATCTATTCAGCATCAGTTCTTTGAGCTGGAGATTGTGGACTCAATTTTTACAGAGAATGAAACTAAGTACTCAGAGAGGGTGAGACATTTGCCTAAGGCCACATAGGTAGTGAATGCGTGGCCAGGTAGGCTTGTCTGAGTCCCAGGCTACTGTCAGACACTGCTTCTGGTTTCCTCTCACTCCCACCTAACCAAGCTCATTAAACCCCTTGGGCATGTCCCCTTTCCTGTTGGTGGAAAGAGGAAGGCTTTAAGGGTGCCTACTGTGGCCACACATCATAGTGTCATCATTTTGATTTGTAAATCAGGAGTGTTTCTTTCTAGAGGCAAATATATTCATGGACTTGTCTAGCAAGTGTTTATCAAGTACCTGTCTGTGGTGGGCTTGATTTTAGGCTATGGGCTTTCTGTAGTAGGAACAGATTTTGTTCTATGAAAGTACAAAGTAGAAAAAAGTAGAAGGAAGGAAAACAAAAATACCTCCAACCCCATGACCTGGAGATGGCCACAGCTGCTATTTTGTTTCATTTGCTTCTAATGTTTTAACTGTATAGATTGTAGAATTATATTTGTTCTTGACTAGAAGAGGGCCTAGTATGAAGGAATCTGATTTGCTCCAAGGAATTTCAGCAGATGACTGTGTGTTCTGCATTTGAGCTCATCTGCTGGTTATCTGTCCTTCTGCTCACCTACCTGTTCTCCCATCCATCCAGCCACCCACCCAGCCATCCATCCATCCACCCCACCCACCCATCTAGCCATCCGCCCATCCAGCCACCCACCTACCTACCCATCCAGCCACCCACCCATGCACCCATCCA